TACACGATTCACAAAAACAAGATTTGAAAAAAAAAACTTCTCCATAAAAACATAAAATTCCCATAAATAAGTCTCTGCAGGCCTGCCTGTAGAAAAGAAGGCAAAAATTAAATTAAAGAACTCAAATCCTACAACCTTCCAACACAAAGAAACAACAAGAAACGTTTTTCATGCGAGACAGACTGTGCGTGAGAGGGAGACGGGCAGAAACACGAGGTCACAAAGACCAGAGGTCACAGGTCCAGCACACAAAGTACTGAGGGTCCACTGTCCAGGTAAGAAGAAGAGGGTCCAGCCAGGACAGAGAAAAGTTTCAGGAGGGATTTGTGACAAAAGGTGGGAGCACAGGTCAAAGGAAAGGTTTACAAGAGACAGTGAGACCAGCTGTGTTGCATGGTCTGGAGACAGAAACATGGACGAAAAAAACCGAACTGGAACTGGAAGTGTCAGAGCTGAAGATGTTGTCATCCTTGGGAGAGGCAAGAACGGAGAAGATTAGGGATGAGATCATCAGAGGAAGAGCACAGGTTGAAGGACAGAGAGAAAGTTAGAAAGACCAGACTGAGATGGTTTGTCTGGACCTGTCCAAACCAATGTACCCCCTGTCCAGACGAGGACAGTGGGTAATTTGGTAGAACGTCAGAGACTGAGCCAGAGAGTAGACATATGGTCCATGTATATTAGGTCATTTGATTTTAGCTTTAAAAACAGATTTTAAAAATAATGAATATTCCATTTGCATTTTACTCCAAAAATGGGAAAATCTTTAAATTTTTATCAAACCAGATGTTAATACTGTCGCTTTCAGACCATTCAAGGTGGAGCTAGTTTAATAACTTTTTGAAAACCAGCGGCTGCCTGTAATTAAACACTAGCCGAACACTTCTGCATTTCTTTAACCAACTAGACTTTATTTATTCATGTATAATACGATCTCTAGTATAACACAATCATCATTTTTGTGCTTAAAAAGCATTTAAAAAATCCCTAGATAGTTTCCCTTCTCTGCTCCGTCTGACATGTCTCCCATAGACAAGGATTTCGCTGGCAGATTTTTAGCCGAACCAATCAGAGAACAGAACGTTGATTTTCTGTGCAGTGTCTGCTTGTAGTTTATTTTACCTGGGCCAAGCAGCAAACAGAAGGCGGAGTTTTGAACGATGTCTATTTTCTGCGCAGTGTCTGCTGGTTATTTTATCATACGGCAGTGGAGGAAGTGAATGAAGCCAGTCCGTGTTGATAAGGCTTCCAAATTAAATTAAATTTGTCTGACAAAGCAGCAGCTCTCATTTACAATCGTCTCGTTTGGCTCGGTACTTTTCTCCTCTCAGTAGGGTTGTTTACAGCACACACGATGTCCGGTTAGCTTCTTAGCTTAGCCTCCTTCACAGCGACACACACAAGCTTCAGCAGAGGCCACGCCTCCAGCAAGAATCGCTTCTCTATGGCAGAGAGTCCAGACCCTCTGTACGAAGCAAAGCGAAAGACAAGGGTCTGGTTTTTACCAGCTAATCAGTGTGCATTGCCAATGCAATGCACACTATTGTGATTCATTTCCCATCCAAGTCATCTCCACTTTGACACGCTTCTCCTCCTGCATACTTTGTCCTAGAGCTGCCATTGTAATTTATGTCTGTAAAGCACCTGTGCCAAATGATGGCTATGCCTTTTGGTACCTGTACAACTCATAGTTTTTGAAATATTAATGTTTAATAATTTATAATTGGAGTCAATGGAGCCTTGTATTGGTCCAATACTGCCCCCTGCTGTABCTACTCAGTACTGCACCATARTTTAATAATATTTAAACTCAGTAGTTCAGTGTTTACAATACTAATATGTTARTATTTTGATGTTTTACTATTATATTGTCCTAATATTGCTTTATTGTTATAATGCAGTTTAGTGTCAACAATTGCATTGGCAACATGGCCACTTTCTGCACACATACAAACCAACTCCTGGCAATCCACTCTGCCACAGCTCCAGTGGTCTCATGGTTAATGCCATGGGCTTTCATGTGGGAGATCAGGGTTCAAAACCCAGCTACAGCAACATTAACAAAAAATTCTCTTCAAACTTCATATTGTCACACAATTACCCTTATATTACAAACACCTGCTGACTAGACAAGCACAAGTTGGTATAGAAAACACATTTGAACTTGATCACCGTTCATTCTGCAAGTCCACTGCTGCAGGTAAAAACCATGCTGCAATGCACACTTGTTTTTACATCGTAAAAACCCATGTCTAGTTTCAGACTGACTTCAGGATTTTTCAGCCTTTGCGGTGCCCCCTCTGGTGGTGAAACATATTTTAAGAGACACCTGCGTGGGCGTGTTCTACTACAGAGCTGGAAGATGAGCAGAGGAAGTTTCTGGTTCTGCGTGTCGCTGAAAAAACAATCTGCTCCCAGACCAGAGCAGAGGCTGTTTGGTAAATTAAGATGGATTTATCAGAACATGCAACTAAAGTCCAAGTTTTTTTTTTACGTCGCCACGGTTAACAAGAAACAACAAATTTTTCCTCCTCTGACTCCGGCGAGTGAACAATATACTTACTTATTGTGGTTGTACATTAAAAGATCAGTCAAAATTTACTCCTGTGTATAATACTACCACCCCACTTTATGAATGTTTTTTGGGGTTAAATTTCTCGTATTAAATGCAAATAAATATGGTAGCATAACCAGTTTAGCTAATTTCTTTAAAAAATATATATTTTCTAGCTCCACCTTAAATAGTCTGACAATTGAATGAATTAACTAACATGTATTTTATAACTAGCTAACATTTCTTTAATGTGAAAAATGAATGACCAAAGTACACGGAGCTATATGGATGCAGTTGGAGGACATGAAGGTAGATGGAGCGGGAACAGAGGACAGAATAAGGTGGAGGAGGACAGCTTGCTGAAGTTGTTTAAGGTTGAGACAAATAAAACCCCTCAGAGGTCTCTGGTCCACATTTAAATTAATTGAAGAACATCTATCCCCCCTAACATCACCAGCCAACAGTAAGGAAAATGTGTTGCAGGAACTCTGTGGAAGTTGGAAGCTCAAAGAAGCCTGGAGGACTGAGGGAACACTACGGAGGTGAGGGGCTGCAGACCACACCTCCTAACTGGATTCAAATCAACGTTCTTGTCATCGCTTCCAACACTGACGGAACGTTTGCTCCGAGCTCATGGCTCCACACCACACACATCTGTGGAATGAGTGTTTTTGGTGCAGTCTGGTTTGAGGACTGTAAAAACACATGAAATGAGACCTGCTCTCACCAACACGACCCAAGAACCAGGAAACAAAGTGATCCAATCTAGAGGAAAGGCCAGGTCTCCTGGAGAATTCTTTAAATGTCTAAATATAGAGGAGTAGGCAGGGTTGGGCGATGGGCTGAACCTTTTTCACTGACTATCATCGGTCCAACTGTTAACTAAGAGTTGACTTTATTGAAACGGGTTGGCCCAGACCACTCTGTTGGGGTCATGAAGCCAAAACCGCAGAGTCCCAGGTTTGGGATGACTTTAAAGGCACAGTGTGTAGGATTTGTCAATTCTTTTAGCCGAAACTGAGATAATCACTAATGACAATAATAAAAAACAGGTCTAATCATTGCAGACAAAGTCCTTGTTTTATAAGTTTTACCTTATAAAAAGCTGTTTATATCTCCATGGTCACGGGTCGCCACTACAGGCATCTTGTCTACGAAGGCTCATGAAGGACAAACTGCGGTGGCGGCGTCAAAAACGGTTTTAGTTGTAATACTATAAATGTAATATTTGTTGTCTGGTTGGAATTATCAAAGGTTTTTGACACCTGAGAGACACCGTAGCAAGTTTGGAAG